TCTCTCTCTCTCACACACACACACACACACACACACACATAAATTTTACGTAAGTAATCATTTCAAACATACAGTTACTTACTTTATATTTGTTAAAGCAGAAAATAAAAAAAAAATAAATATGTTAGTGTGGGGGCATAATGATAAACTAAATACCCAGGAACCTACCAACCCACTCCAGAAAAAATACATTAACAATACTGTTGAAACTCCCAAAGAGGTTTACTTTTCATAACTTCATCATTCATAATAATGAATTTTTGAAATGTATCAGTCAAGTATAGTTATCAATTAAATTCATGATACGAAAGAAGGATGCCACTACTTTTGCTTCCGGGCATATACGTTCTGATGAGTACTTGCTTTGGAAGTTTTTCTTAAATTGAAGTAAAAGAAGTTTACAGTTGTTCAAGGGAACTCCACACTTACCAAGTTTATCCCCTACCACGGTCACTTCCGTTGCCTCTGAGGGCTCACCCACTCCTGCCGAGTTAGAACAGCGGACGCGGAAGCGGTAGGATTTCCCTTCAGCCAGGTCGAAGAGAGCAAAGCGGGGAGACTTCACAGGGAGCTCTGTGTTCACCCGCTGCCAGTTTTCTGTCTCTGCGTCACACTGCAGCCCAAACAGTGAGACCCATTCACGGCACGGCAAGAATAAATGGGACCTCTAGGCCAGGCATCTAGCAGTCTTATTTATCCGTCAACAAACCACCTACCTGTTACCAGTGAGTTGAACTGGAGAAGAGATTTGGAGGAAATGGGGATGAAGCATCTGTAGTCCACAGGATTATCTAAATAAAATTGGCTTTGCATTGTTTGATAAATACTTTAATACTTCACTGACTTTATTAACCAAGTAAGATCACTGATCGACTTATAAAAGACCTTAATTTATTTTGAGGACTGCTTGGAGTCAGATCCTTTTCTAATTCTTAGGGTGGGTAATTCAATTTAATGTGCTATATAAGATACTTTAATTTTCACTGCTATAAACTTTTATTTTAATTGAGTGTTATTTAATGATTCAGAATATCATTCGGGTCTGTGCTCAAACACCACCTCCTCAGAAAGCCCTTCTTGACCACCCCCTCCCTATTCTACCAAAGAATCTGAAAGAGTTCTTTGTTCCTTTCTCATCACTCTCTATCCTTTACCTTGCTTTATTATTTTTTTAAACACTTATCTCTATTTGAAATTAAGTTATTTGTCATCTCCTCCATTGGAAAATAAGTTTCAGTGAATTGAGTTCAGAGAGTTGTCTTGTTCACTGCTATCCTCCAGAGCCTAGAATTGTATCTGACACATAGGAAATAATCAACAATTGTTTTTTCCTGAATGAATGAATTTTTTTTTTTTGAATTTGGAAGGAAGGAAGGAAGGAAGGAAGGAAGGAAGGAAGGAAGGACGGAAGCTAATGAAAGATAAAGATGTTCTTTTTTTCTGACCCATATTTTAGAATAAATTATGGGAAAAACTAATTTAAAGCAATTCTATTCTTGGAATTAAAGTGGTCTAGAGTGACTCTGAAATCCTTGAAAGGATGTGGTGTCTATTTGCACTTTGGTAGAGAATATAGTGAGAAAACTATCAGTAGTCTTCAGTAATCCTTTTCCCCTCCTATTTGTACTCTCAATTCTGCCCAAGGTCAGCAGAAATGATTTTGCTTTGGAACTTTTGAACAGTTTCAAGAGACTTTTCCAGAAATCCAAATCTTGCGATATAGTGACCAGCTGTGAGGGGTGATACATTCTTGGGACTATAAAAATACTGGTATATCGTTTGGCATAACCTTCATGGATTTGAAATGAGAGACAACATGATATGGTGAAAAGGATCCAGAGGCATCCACTCTGGTCCTAGCTTTGTTAAGAATAAGACATGTGACCTGGGGAGAGTCACATGAGTATTGTTTGGTCTCCGTTTTAACATTTGCAAAATAAGCAAATGTGACAGGGTAACCTCTAAAGTCCCTTGTAGAATCTTTCATGATGTGTCATTGTGTGTGGAAGGGTAGAGAGGATAAATTCCCCCTAACCAGTCAATCTGCTGATAACTGAGGGGTAAAATTCTCCCAGACCTTCAATTCTTCAGTTTATGGCTTTAATTCATTTTGACACATTCTCCCCTGGGAAACATATAACAATTATCAGTCATTTATACTTTCATAATAAAAAATAATAGCTGCCTTTCACTATGCTAGGGGATTTATGTCATTGTAACTCTTTAATCTTCTCAACTGTGCTCTGAACTAAGTATTGTGGAGGTAGCACTGTGTGATTATCCATGTTTTCCAGAGAAGACAGGCTTGGGAAGGTTGAAAGGCAGCAATGTATACTAGTTGGATACAGTATATGAAACTGAGCCAGACTGTCTGGGTTCAAATACTAGCTCTGTCTCTTACTAAATGTGTGACCCTGAGCAAATTATATGCCCCATCGAAGCCTCAATTTCCTCATCTACAAAATAGGCATGATGAAAATAAAAGCATTTCCCTCATAAGGTTACCTCAAGTATTAGGTGAGTTAACATGTGCAGAGTGCTTAGAACAGTGCCTGGTCCACCTGTTGGGATGAGCACTGGGTGTTGTATGGAAAACAATTTGACAATAAATTTCATTTAAAAAAATAGCAAATGTTTCCTTGGATGTATCACTTACATTTGATTAAGCATAATAAACATAAATTTTTATGAAAGGAAAAAAAAAGAACAGTGCCTGGTCATTGATAAACATCCCTGCATGCAGAAACAGAGCTAGCAAATGATACAACCCTTATCTCTGACAGGACCAGATTTTTGATAAGGGAATGAGAGAGAAAGAGCTGAAGACATAAGACATCTGAGAAAAAAGTTTGGGGCTGAGAAGAACACAGTATAGGAAGGCTGGGAACACTGGAGACCGATCCATCCAATAACCTTGCTAATAAACCCCTCACTATCAACCATTTTAGGGCTCACAGACATGGTGTAACTGGGCATAAGCTTTAGCCATGACAGGTGACTTTGTGCTTTATGTGCATGCAAATTCTGGTAAAAAGTTCTGTAAAGAAGTGCAAGCTCAGGGGTAAAGAAGCAGAACTCCCATGGGCATGAATATTCTGGGGATGAAAATGTGCTGCGGGACAAAAGCATGTAGACCATTTCTCTTTAGAAAGGTCAATGTATTAGAAGTGGCTCATAAGAATAGCTTGAGTCTCAGCTCAGGACAACGGTGTGATGTTTGGATAGTTCTGTAAGTGTGCCCTAGGTCTCTGGACATGTTCTGCTCCCCCAATATGTCAACATCCTGGGCCTTTTGTATACGTCAGCCATGCCTTTACAGGCCTCTCTGCTCACCCTGCACTCGAAATGTTCCCTCTGTTCCATGCCAGGTTTGCTCGTGGATGAACACTTACATTTTTAATCACAGACTCATATGTATTTAGGTCTAGGGAAGTTAATAGACTTTCCTGGAGAAATTAGAGTTTATGTGACCAGAGGAAATGTTTAACAGAAGCCAAAGTTGACTCATTTGAAGAAAACGCCTCAGTGGTATATTGTTACTGTGTCATTATTATAGGAAAGATGGTAATTACTGTCAGAGAGCTTACTCAGAACTCTCTTCCTGTGGAGAATTTCGAAAAGATTCAGTGGAGGGTATGTATTAAGCACACCAGGAAATAAACATTTTCCACTCTAGTCTTGCCCTCTATTAAGAAAAAAAAAGAAAAGAAAAATTTTAAAATCAGAAATGCTACTCAAGCTCTAGTTAATTTGAGGTTAATATCTAGAAAATATACAAATTACTAACAATAAAAAATCTAATATGTTTTTAGTAAAATCAGATTCTTTTGAAAGATGTCCATGTTACAGAAATAATCCATTTATTGTTACCAATGTGCTAGGGACAAGGAGAAGTAAGGCATGCTCCTCAAAGACATGATAAATGTCTTTAAAAAGGACATAAATTAATACATTTATTAATTAAAATAGGAAAACCACAGACCCTAGCATTTTTAATGCTAGTATAATATTCTCTGATGATCTGAAATAACTAAAAGGCCATGAAGATAGATGCATATTACTTTCATGTTGTCACCTAATTTGCAGAAGTTTGCAAGTACCTATATACCCATCATGTCTATTCTCCTGTAATAATTATCAGGGAAGGTGACCTAATAGATGTTCTGAAATTGAATGATCAGAATAGCATTAAGGATGAAACGCAAAAGCTCTTAGGAAAACTCACCAAGCTCCGTAATATTTTTGCCAAGTAGAAACCTTTTCCATAATTTTACTACGAAGGTAAAATGTAAAGTAAATGACAACTTATCCTGTTATCACACAATTTTATAAAAACAAAATACACAAAAAATACAGCCAATTGTTTCATTTGTTGTTCTTCAAAAATAATGGTGTGTGGCTGCCAGTATAAATGTAAATGTTCTTATGGGTACCAGGAAATAAGCTTATTTTAGTTTCATTTTTTTCAATTATATCTTAATCAAAACTTTTTTAATGAATGGATTTTGAACCTCATTTTAAGTAAATTCTCTTGAAATGCCCCGTCCCGGGAGCAATTATGTTTTGCCTGGCAGATACTCCTCCTTTGTGTCTGCCCTTGAAACTAGGGCACTTGCCCCAAATAACGTCCTGTCTAGGACTTGGCTCTTCTCCATTTTCTGGGCATAAATGCTTACTGTAACTGCCCTTAGATCTGTGTCTATGGTAGATTCACATATAATTCTCATCATTCCACCCATTTTAGGCTTTCATTATACGCTGCCCTCTCCAAGAGCATGACAATAAAATTACAAGATATTTGAGGGAAAGAACTAGCCAGTATCTCATGCTGTTTTGCAATCTCTGACCCCATCCTACTACCTGCACTCAGAGTAGCGCTGGCCAAGTGCCAGGCAGCATGTAAGGACTTTCTCTCTTTGATCCTCCAGCTATTTGACAGTATTCTGAAAGTATTGTCACTTCTATTCCTCTGGCTCATCTACCCTCATTGATCTTCAGTTTCGACTGCTTAAGACAAATTGTAGAGAGATGAAAAGCTATTACTAGAGCGAGAGAGACAGAGAAATCTTCTAGAAAACTGCCATATGAACAATCTACAGTTTCGGGAGCAATTCTCTTCTTAAAGGGTTATAATTTGAGGTCTGTGGGCCTCTTTGGAGTCTATGGGTGAGCTTCACAGATCTATACACCCCCTGAACTTTTAGGCAAAGTTTTGTGTGATATGCATTTTTCCGTGAAGATTGTTCATAGTTTATATGGGTTTGAAGAGTTCAGGACACAATGGAAATTTAAGCTCTAGTTCTCTAAAGAAATCTTTAGGAAGTGGCATGAGGTAATAATGTTTGATCCCAGAGTCTTACCTTTTCCACAAAGTACAGAATGCCCTCGTGGCCACGCTGGCCAGGGGGCTTCCAACTTAGCACCACATAGCTCCGGGTGGCCTCTGTGACAGAGAGGTCTGTGGGGGGCCCAGGAACAATACCCTCTGAAAAACAATGAGGAAAAGTGAAAAGCACACACTCTGGGAAGCCCAGCATGCTCCAAAAGGCACAGATGCTTCTCTCCTACTGGGGGAAGAGTTCATTACTTCTCCACAGTATAAAGAAATACCCCAACTCTGAAATCCTTCCTAAAACATTCATTCATTCACTCAAAGCCACAATTTTACTTTCTTTGCTTGACAGTTCTGATTTTCTTTCTGGTCCTTAAAAACGAGTAGTAACAAGGGGCGCCTGGGTGGCGCAGTCGGTTAAGCGTCCGACTTAAGCCAGGTCACGATCTTGCGGTCCGTGGGTTCGAGCCCCGCGTCGGGCTCTGGGCTGATGGCTCAGAGCCTGGAGCCTGTTTCCGATTCTGTGTCTCCCTCTCTCTCTGCCCCTCCCCCGTTCATGCTCTGTCTCTCTCTGTCCCAAAAGTGAATAAACGTTGGGAAAAAAAATTAAAAAAAAACAGTAGTAACGACATAAGTTTTACTTTCTGTACATCTTATATCAGCTTTTTATAGAATATCTTTTCAGGGCACGCTGACAGCACAGAGCCTGGAACCTGCTTTGAGTTCTATGTCTCCCTCTCTCTCTACCCCTCCCCTACTCACACTCTGTCTCTTTCTCTCTCAAAAATGAATAAACATTAAGAAAATATATAGAATATCTTTTCAAGGATGTTTGGAAAGCAAACAAACTTGGAATATGAGATAGTATATTCTCTAGGGCAGAAAGTTGTCTTGTTTTCTGCCCAGAATAGTAAAGATAATGTCCTTCAGAGAAAGGTTGGGTAGATCTGTTAGCAGCCCCCTTATAATACTGGGGTGTCCTAAGTACAAGGTTTCTCAGATGTGACACAAATGTACTGTGTGTGCACACCCATCTGTGCTCCTCCATACCACCCTGTGGGACTTGGTGTGGGGAGGGGGAGACAGTGCAGGGAAAAATAATGGGAACGTGAAGCTCATGTGGTCTTCTACGCTGTGAATTATAGAGCCCTTTGTTTCTGATCTAGGACTCTCTTGTCTTTTGCCAGCATCTATGAAACTGTGGTAGAAAATATATTAGTTTGTAAGTCGGGTAAAATTTTAGAGCCTCCACAGTTCCTGACATCAGAGTAACCCTTCCATGTCAAATAACTAAAATACCATGCAAAATACATGAAACGCCTGTCTATAGACATTGGATATTAGCTGTCTTAGGACAATGATGACTGATAGGAGAGAAACAAATTAAAGTGAGCTCTACTATTGTCCTAGTTTATTGTCCAGAGAGAAGTTCAAGACAGCAGCTCAGGAAGAGGAACCACGTAGAGCCTGGCAGTCTCCCCAGCTGGAGGAAAAAAAGCTGGAATTCCAGGAAGGGCAAGGTATCTATCTACAGATAGAGTCAGAAGGATGAATACTGGAGGAAAGGGCTACACTGAGAGAGAGGCTTCAGAGATCTGCAGAGGGTCTGTCTGGAGTGTTCACCTGAGTAATGATCAGCACATGAATATGAGGAAACCACCTGAGGCTGGAGAAAACCTACACAAAAGAATTGGAGAGAACAATCCTCAAAGCTCTCATGGGGCCTGGGAGAGTCCATATTCCCACCAGTCAGAGTGTAAATCTAATTCCCAAGCATCCTGTAGAGTACTGCTCAGAAGGATATTTCCTCTGTAGTATGGCCAAATTATCCCTAGACTAAAGGCTGTTCTGATTTCACCTAACAAAAGCAACCCTTGAAAGATCAAATCGTTTCCCCAGAACAAAGCTCAAGGGCATTTATAAAAAAACAAAAATATCCAGCACCAAACAATGTAAGTTCGAAATGTCTGGCATCTCATGAAAAATTATTAAGTATGCAAAGAATCATGAAAATATAGCCCCTTCTGAGGAGAAAAATCAATCAATGAAAACAAAACCAAAAATGTCACAGATGATAGAATTAACAGGCAAGGATATAAAAACAGTTATTATAAATATATTCATTATGTTCCAGAGCATAAAGATTAAACCTGTTAATTAAAGACATGGAAAATGTAAAAATAATACAAATTGTTCTAGACTTCTACAGCTGTAAATTACAAAACCTAAAATGAAAACAAAACAAAACAAAACCCACACACTGACTGGAATTCACAGCAAGTTAGACACTGAAGAAAAGGATAGTAAAATTATGGCACAGTATTAGAAAATGTCTAAAATGGAACACAGAAATCAAAAAAGACTGAAAGGAAAAATGGATATCGCATCAGCAAGCTGTGGTTTCAAGTGACATGTAATTGGATTTCCTAAAGTAGAGAAGAGAGAAAGGGATACAGAAAAAAGATGTTTAAAGAAAGACTTGTGAGGGGTGCCTGAGTGGCTCAGTCGGTTGAGTGTCTGACTTCGGCTCAGGTCATGATCTTGCAATTCATGAGTTCGAACCCCACATCGGGCTCTGTGATGACAGCTCAGAGCCTGGAGCCTGCTTCAGATTCTGTGTCCCTCTCCCTGCCCCCTCCCCACTTACTCTCTCTCTCTCTCTCTCTCAAAAATAAAAATAAACATTTTTTAAAAATTTAAAGAAGAAATACTGGTGAAAAAATTTTCCAAATCTCATGAAACCAATCTCATGAATCCAAGAAACTTGTACACCCCAAGCACAAGACACATGAAGGAAACAACACAGATGCATATCATAATCAAATCTGTAAATCCAGTGATAAAAAGAATCTATTAAAATCAGGCAGAGAGGAAAAGATCTGAGGGACAAAGTAAGAATAACAATAGTCATTCTTATAGTGTAGGTCTGAGCTATAATGGACCATCCTTTCTAAAGTACTGAAAGGAAGGGTGCCTGGGTGGCTCAGTTGGTTAAGCGTTTGACTTTGGCTC